ACAATGATATGCCACCAGGCTATCTTTGCTAAAAACCACAGGGACCTAAACATATTATTTGAAACAAGCTGAATCAATTAAAGAAATGGTAAGGTACCACCTTGTAAATATGTGTCATGCAACTTTTTAATATCAACTTACATTTTATAACAGCATCATGTAGGAAAACTGTAAATCACCTGCACTGGGGTCACAAGCATTGTGTTCAAAATTGTTGAAAAAATTCTTAAATAGATTGTAGTACTGAGGAGGGAGCCGAGGCTGCAACAAAAAGTCAGTTTCTCACCTAATATAATCGTTTACTATTTCTAGAGATGTTGCTTTTAATGTACTCTGATGTCGCCATGCATGGTACCAGAGATAGTGTAATCAAGTTTACGGCTAACAAGCTTCTTCAAATTTCAAGCCTTTCACGTTTGGCAAGGTGTGAGAATAGCTTGTGTCTCGTGTATGTGCAAATGAGACACAAGACAGGAGGGCATCTAACCATAAAGATAAGAAAATTACACTTTAATATGCTTTACACAAGTATAAAACATAGATTATGAATAGTTTGGGACCGCATACAATAGAGAATGTTCTAATTAAAAGGAAACAACAAAAAAACATTGAAGTTCTTCCCTAAAAGTTGCATTTATAAGTTGAATTTATTCTGCCTTTGATATTTTGATGAATATCGACCACTGATGTAAAGCGGCACAATTAGCATACATCTCAGTGATTAGACTAAATGCAGCCATACTGAAGCTGTGACTAAGGAGACTAAAAATGAGGAGTAAAGAATGATGGATACCCATTTTACTTGAGAAAAATATCATATCTAGCAGGATAAATTACAACACTGGCTTAATTGTCTGGTAAATGTTCTTAAATAAAAAAACGGATGGCAGCATGCAAAGGGAATTAGGATGCCTTTCTTACCGCAAAAATGGACTGAGGCTCAATTTGAAAGTCACAAAGCACGCCACCACGCTTGCTGTGTGGCAGACAGGTGTCATGTACCAGAGGTGTATTGGACTGAGAGACTGAGCTCATCATTGCACCGGAGGCTCAAAGGGCCCTGAGCTTCTGTATCCAACACATTAGGGCTGCAGGAGAAAGGGTGGGGGGGAAGAGTATTAGCAGGATATGGCTGCAGAGGAGGGGGCAGGGCCCCGCTGAGTAATGCACACTCAGTGGATGGTGGGGGGGGCTGTTAATTGCCATGCTACATCTCAGCTGAGGGAGCACTTGTGGGACAGTGACAGTTCAAAGAGTGGGGAGTGTGACTGCAATTCAATCAAAGTATAAAATGATGTCAGTTTGGCCCTTGACCAAAAACAGATTGGAGGCAGGTATGTCATTAATTACACTCTGTTCACTTCCTTCTGTCCGTGCACTTTTTGTTCTTCGGTAATATGGACAGAGATTTTCCATTTGCAACTGCCAAAATAATTTAAACCAGCACTGTAGAGTGTGAGTGTCTGTGTAAGGCTCTCTTGTTGTGGATACAGTGTGACGCCTGTTGAGAACTGTGAGCAGTAGGGTGGGGTTCCTGTTGTGAAGGCGTAGCCCACACCACTCTATTGGCTGTGCTTTCGCAGATCTACAGGGGAACTCCATTCCTCGTTAAACGACAAACCACCACCTGTTCTCATTTCATCTCTCCCGTCCTCGCTGTGCCTCTTGGACCACTGGTGAAGGGCAGACACCCAGGTACTCCGTGAGGAATGAAGGCAAGTTTCCCATTCAAAACATTCCCCATCCATTTCCTGATGGCCGCCACCTGTTCCCTCCCCCCTCCACCTCTTCTCTTTCCACCACCACGGCCACATCTACACACACCTTGCTCTGGCGCGAGGGATGGGCAGATTGTTGGGGGATGAGAGTGGATTGTTACTGTCACAGGGGGCAAGGGAGGAAAGGAGGTGGGTACTCTGCGTTACTTGATGGCCCCCAAGTTCCAGATGTCACTGTTTTTAATGACATAATTATGACCGTCTTATGACTCCCCTTGGCCTTCAGTCTGTACTGGAAGCTGTGCACGCTGCACAAGCACACACACACACACATAAACACACATAATTGCTGCATATTATTATTCAAAGCCTGTGTGCCTATGCCATTTCTAATTATAAAGACATCTTTCTGAAAGATAGTTTACAGGTAGCTTAGGTAGCTGATTTAGATTTCCTCCTGATAGAACAAAGAAAAGCATAATAGTTGAAAGAAAATCATATTTTAATCATGTAAAATGTCAAGCATAAATGATCCCCACAAAAGGAATTATTTTCTTGACAGATTATCAATCAAATATCAAACTGGCCAGCTTCTTCTTTGCCGACACCCTGGAGCTGAGGCCATCTGGATCAGGCATTTTCTGGTCATTAACCATGCTCGGCCCTTAAGAATCTTGAAGTACTTGCTCTTTCCTGATAGAGTGACTGAGGCTGGCAACTCTGCGTTCACAGTTTGAGCCACTTTGCTTGCTAAATTCTATCTTTGCTTGGTGCAGCAGAGATATTGCTTTTGGAAGAGAAGCGTGATGAAAGGCATTTTGATCTGGAGGCATACAGCACAACAGTGTGAGACACACAAAGTGGTAGCTACCAAGCTGAACTTCAACAAACATACACTCCACGGATACATAGGAAACTGTGAAGAATGATCACAATGAATACCACGATGAACTGTTGTTTCAGTGGGGACTTGATAATGATGAAGGCAGTCCCTCCTCTAACAGGGCTAATTGGGGTTCAGAGACATCTAATGCATGATAGATGGAAAAGGAGAAGGTCTCAGTGGTGTACGGCACTGCTGGCACGAGATCACAAGCATTAATAGAGCTGAACCTTTCACTCTGGGCTGAAAGACATCTGTTGCCAGCAGGTAACCTCGGCTTTATCATTACCAGCTAGACCCACCGATGTTTTCCTGGCATGACAATTTAAAGCGATATATATGTTTTCTGGCTAATTCAAGCTGTCAACATCATCCCTGTTTGTAGGTGAAAAATGGGTGCACCACGCAGAGCACCAGATGGCAGGAATGGATCATCAATCTGAAACAGCAGACATGTGATGGATGGATTCTCCAGAGTAAACAGTTTCAAACTAAGAACCACACTGAGAAGAAATTTGCTCACAAATGAGCACTTTTGTGTCGACATTATGCATTGAAAGAACCGCAAACGGCGTCTAAGGCTATTCATGTTTGTGACTTAACATTTACGGGCACAATGCATGATCCATATGGAAATACAAAGCAGTCCCACTACCAAAATTTTTAAAAAGGCAGGACTAAAATCTGCTATCATCTAAAGTGTTTAATATAAGGACTAATACTAGTAAACAAGCAGGTCCAATGCCACCGGCTGTAATCGTTATTTTTATCATAGTAACGTGGCAATTGCCAGTTGGAGGTGTAAATAAACAGTTCGCCATTATGGAAAAAAGTCTCAGTGGCTGTCTTGCTGAGAGTAAGATGAGAAGATCGATAACCCTTTCAGGTTTGTACAGAAAATTTGAAGCTTAGTTTAGCACAGTAAGCTTAAAAAGAGCTAGCCTGGCTCTGTCCAAAGGAAACAAAATTCCCATACCATCTAACTAATTAACACTAATATATCTTGATTGATTAATTTGGATAAAAAATGATGTGTAAACTGGACACGTTGTGGTTTTACAGTGAGTTATGAGCCAAACAATTTCTTCGCTGGGTGCAATAAATGCAATAAATCTTCAACTCTTTGCAAGAAAGTCTGTTTCCCAAACTGTTGAACTGTTCCTTTAAATTAAAAGTAGTAGTCTAACAAGTCCCTATATTACCACATTTCATAAAGGAATTGCACTGCATTCAAAACAAATCCTTGTGTACATACTTCTGTATATAGTTAATAATGTACATGGTATTTATCTGTATAAGTGCTATGGTCCAAAAACTTCCCCAAGGGACATATTCCAGTATACCAGGCCAAACCGCGCATGTTGAATTTAATGCACCTGAATTGTTAATAAGACTTTAACTGTAGAGACAAAATATGCTGAAATTTCTGTTGACTTTGTCAAGATTATCTTTTTTCTTCTTTCTTTTTTTTTTTACATTTTGTTTGCTGAAACAGCAACAGATTTGACGTTTTGTCAACTGACAGCTTCCCTTCAAAGACAAGAGAAGCACTCTGGGTAAGTAGGCAACATCCTGGGTATGAGGTGGCAAAGTGCGCAGACTGAATATCACAATGTTTGCAGACAAACCCAAACCCGCTGAGATGCCGTGTCACATCATGACAGGTTGCACTCTCCAAGCAAAGTAAAACCTCTCCCACTAAATTCTGAATATAAAAAGCTGCAAAATAAAAAAAAAAGTAACAGTGGAAAGCAGAGATGAGTCCTTTTATGATGGAGGCATCTCCATATGACATGTGACCACCAGTGTGTGCCATGAATAAATCATCCTGAACCGGGCAGAGAGAGTAAACAGTTGTGTATCTTCACCTCAGATGCCTAGAGAGGCCTGTCAGACACAGCAGTTAACAAAGCCTACCTCCTCATCATCATGCGGACGGTGTTTCAGCACATCCAAGTCCAAACCTGACACCATTACCCGAAAACCCCCCATCTTCTCCTCCCCGGTACACAACGCAAAAACTCACTCAGTGTTTCTACAGAGTCAACTTAAAGTGAAGTTAAAGCGAGGATTGTAGCAGTGCTGCTAATCTTTCCCCAGAGTCTCTGCTTCACTTGGTTGTATTTAAAGACCGCCCGGATTGTCTTTGTAAATTAGGCAACCGGAGCTCTGGGATTAGCTGCCAATTTGTACCCACTGTGGAAAGAAACTCCTTAAGACCTCCATGATTTTATCTATTAACACAACTTCAAGCACAATCAGGCTCTTATCGGGTGCATCCCTGGCTCCAAGCTATGGTACGACTCGCACTCTGCATAAAATAGCCATGAGTCTAATGCGGCCAATGGCTCGTTTCAGCATCATTTCAAACGAGAATGTCACAAGAGATGATGAGAAGATTTTTTAGAATATAGTTTTTTTTTTATTTATAATTTATAATTGGCAGATACAAAAAACTCTTGAACTGTATCCAAAGTGTGCAATAAAATCACTGTTGATTTTTTCCAAAAGAAAAATACAAAAAGACCATCTACTTTGGAAAGTTGACAGTTGACAACCAATGTAAACTGGAGTGAACTGGTAATTCTACAGAGGGTTTTACTAATCGCTACTAATGCTCTTTTAACTGACTACAGTTGTTAACAAATTGCAAATCTGCTTTGCTCTCCCAAGATGATAACCAAAGTCATTATGTGTACATACATCTACATTGGTGACATTCTATTTCCCCATTGTTAAATACAAGAAAGGCAATCATATCCATAAGCAGCACAAATGTGTATAACACATTAAAATGAAATAGTTTTCAAAATTGTACCAAGATGTTCATGTGAGAGAGGTTAAACAAAAAAATGGGGGAGAAGGGAGGAGGGGGAGGCATTTCCAAACATAATGTTGTAAACAATCACCTTCACTCACCGAGATGTACAAAAAAAAACACGTTGGAGCTTGTTAAGTGCTAAACAGCTGTTATAAATTCAAAATGCTTCAGCAGTCTGAACAAGCATCAACCTCTGGAATCAAACATCGAAGGCAATAATGCTTAATAATAAACTGAATACGTATTTAGAAAACTCACAGCAGCAACACAATATGAAACTGGTTTCTGCTCGTCAAAGTTTGATGACAAAATTGCAAATTAAAATGGAAATACAATTAAAGGAACAATGTATTGAAAAAAAAAAAAAAAAAAAAGACTAGCATTTTACTTTCACATTTCGACTGTAACACATACACACACCCAAAAAGTAAAATCTAATTTACATCCACATTCTTGCCATGATCCCATTCCTTGACAGCCCGTGAGCATTAGCAGAGGCTTTGATATGATGCTGGTGCCTTACCCTTTATATCCCACGAATATGACATGATAAACAAAACAATCTCAATTTAATCTAAACAGTTATATGAACACAGAAGGACAAATGTGTGACTATATTTCTGTTTAAAAAAACACCATCTGAAGGACAACTCTAGGCAGGAGAGGATCCAAGCACGTCAATGGAGAATATTCAAGTGCAAAAATGTGTCAATGTAGTTTTTATGATTCTCATGCTTTCTGAAACTGGTCTGCAGGCAGATAAAATGGAAACCTCAAACAAGCGTACATTCCTTTTGTACAGCCCCATTCCCCAGATGTCAAATGTCACAAAAAAAAAACTCATAAAAGGATTCTAAAAAGAAAAATACATTTCTTGTACACAGATTTCCAGCCAATGTTTGTGACAGAAAAAAAAAAAAAAAACATCTCTCTACACAGCCAAACACACAACCTAGATCCTTCATTCTTATACAACTCAAAGCTTTAAAATGCTAAGTCTTTAAACATGCAACACCATCCAAAGTTCCTATCTAATTTCTGCTGTGCTAGACTCATGGTAACTTCCTCAGACACCAACACTTCCAGCTAACTAAAACTAGAACTATGCCCTAACGACCTACCAAAGTTGTCCGTGAGACCATTTTTCAAATACTTTTAAGGACACTGATGTCAAAAAAGATGCTCATTCATAATGTGAAAACACAATTCCCTGTCAAAGTATCCATATAAAGCACTTGCGTAGCATACTGTGTGCTCTTCCCTTTACTCTGGCACGAACAGCCAAGTAGAGACAATCTGTGGGGTAGTGCAGCTCTGTGGGGACAATGTGAATAAGCAATGGCAAAAAATGTATGCTTTTTTTTTTCCTTCTTTTCTTTTTTTTTTTAAACGTCCTTGAAACCCATATGACATTAATGATGCAGCCATGATGGAACTTTTTTTTCATATGCTGAAACCCTGGCATCACTCCAAGATGGCGAGGAGGACTTAACCCTGGCTTTACCAAGTCCTTTTTACCTAAGCTCACACCATTTCTGGGATTCCTTTGATCTGGGTCCAGCTCATTGCTGGCGTTAAGAGACTAAGAAACGGCCATCGCTACATACAGATTCAAATCAATTGACTAGAGGTCTGTTTTTCAGTTGTAGGTCAATCCAGGGCAATTTTCTTTACTTCTGAACTGCCTACGGTAAATGCAATTGTGCATTAAACAGAGTTGCCGTTAAACCACACAGCCGAAAAACTTCCACCCTTTTACCGTGACATCTTCTCTCATTTAGAGGAACTCTACAGTGCCATTAATTGACAGTCTTAAAGCCTTTACTACATGCAGATACAAGCATTACAGATAGTGACAAAGTTGTTAGGCCTGAGCTGCGGTGCAGTTTTTGTAACATTCCTAATGCAGAAAAATTTTACTTAACATATTTCTAAAAAGGTTAATACATCAACTTGATGCTGTTTCTACAAAAACAGCACATTAAGATCCAGCATCGTCAGTACCTTCAGGCTTGCACATTATATAATGGCTACATGCAGCCATACAATTTAAGGCTACTTTTCTGACCTAACTGTTTAAACCCTCTCACAGACTGGCAAATTTTGGGCATCTTTTGCAACAAAATATTGTTCATGTTGTACACCTGGAAAATCCTTGTGACTTTGAAAGGGATTTCCATGTACTAGTGTACAAACATGACAAACTCATAAATAAAGCCTGCACCAGTCTAAGCATACTGGAACACAAATGTGTCTGTAGTATGTCAGCTAGTACCATGCCATAATAGAGTCAAATACTAGAGAAAGAAACACCATCCACTGAATAAAGTAGTTAGGTTTGTAAATTAGCAATGCCCATCATCCCTTGACATACGATAAAGCCTTGCTATTGGACTAATTGCATAGTGTAAATGCAGAATGATGTTCTCATTTGCAGTCTGATCATGCCGAAAAAGGATAACATTGCACAGTCTTACGAGTAATAAAATGCAAAAGATGATCAAAATTGGTCAGTCAGCAGAAAGCTTAAAATTTGATTTAAAAACTTCATTATAACAGTACTTTTCCGTCCTTTGAAATGTACAATTTAGTGGATAACAATTCAATGAACTTTCAAATTCAGAGTGGAATTCTATTTTTCTTAAACCCAGATGGCAAATTTATGAAAATCTGCTTTACTTGCACAGCTGGATGTTACACTTCACCATACATCAATGCGCATCAAACATCTGCACTCAATGTATGCAACTAAGATAACTAGGCTGTATACCCCTGTTCTTTTTTTAATTTTTGTTGTTTATTTTTTTGAAGTAGATTATGTGCTGGCCTGTGTTTCGGGAAGTGGAGCCTCCTAAGACCAGTGAAAAAAAACCCAGAACAGTGGAATGGAGGACTTAACAGTGACAGAGTCACCTGGACACAAATCAAGAGCCACCAAAACCAATCATCTCAAAACTGTGGTTGTCTGTAAACCTTGTTTAAATCTCTTAACTGAACACAAAAGTGCAAATTGCTACCACTGTCCTGTCTCTGTGTCCTCAGTAGTGCTTCTCCTGCAGATAATCTTTCATCTTGTTAGGTAAGGGCAGTTTCTGGATCAGGTCTATCCTTGTATATTGTCTAATGACGAAGCGACAAAGGTACTGCAGGGAGCGCACTTGCATAAACCGAGATACTGGGTTGGTTAGTCTGACAGGGTAGGTTGCAGACCCTGGTAAGCGAGACCTGGAATAGCAAAAAGCTCCATTCTCTGAGTCTTTGATAGAGTGTTCGATTAAGTCGACAATGGACGTGTGTCCCTCCACATCAGGCTGCTCATAGAAGCTGAAGCGTCCATTGGAGTGTTCGATGCGGGTGTGGAGGGTTTTGCCCTGTGACCTGAAACTCAGGCTGAGCAGGTACCTGTCGTCCGAACTGTCTCTGACCAGGAATGAGCCGTCGGCCAAGTTGACCAGTTTTTCCTCCGCCTCCCAGCGTGTGATGGGACCCCAGTACCAGCCCTGCCTCGCCAGCTTCTTCAGCTCCTCTGTCAGACTGGTGACGACCATGGGCCCGCTGCTCTGGACCGAGTCGTAAACCCGACTGACCCCAGGAGCTGAGTTTGGGTCAAAGTTGAGGTGGTGTCTTACCCTCTCAGCTACCTGGCTGTCTGAAGAGCTGAACCCTGAAAATGTCCTGGAAATATGTCCATTACTTGTTATGGGTGGCAGGAGTGGAGAGAGGGGAGGTGGGACCTCTACTCTAGAGCTTTGGAGCATCACACCAGCAGAACCGATGAGAAGACTATTAACTGAGGTTTCCATGAAGAGATCCGGAGGCATCCCACTAACCAGTTCATGTTCCTCCTGTCCCTGTTCTGTGTGGAGGGACCCATTGTCCGCTTCAGTCCCCACCTCCATAGGAGAGGAGCTGTCCAGGCAGAAGGAGTGGGACCCTTCCGGGTACATTCCCTCATCTAAAGGCATTGTGTACTGGATGTAGTCCTGGGGAGTTAACCCCAGCACCACAGGCACGTCATTTTCATCAATATTTAGATGCAGCTCACCATTTTGCGGCTGCTGGAGATTCTTTAAGGATTCTGCTTGGTCCTGAAAGAGCCCTTCCATCTGGAAATCATGAAATTCTTTCCGGACACCATTTAAGTTGGGACTTGGGCTGGGAGAGTGAACCATGGCTTTAACTTTTACCTCCATCTTGATGCAGGCCTCATCAGAGTTGACTGAGCGCAGAGGCCACGGTGAGGGGCTGTAGTGGTGACTCCGTAGGGACGCGGATCTAAGGGGTCTCTGGGCTTTCACCTCGTTGAAGCTGATGGGCACAGACGAAGAGGAGAAGGTGTCATCGTCATCAACTGAGCCTATAGCAGAGGAGCTGCCTTTCACTTTCGCCTTCTGCTTGGCAGACAGCCTCCTCTTTAGTGATCCCATCAGGCCCTCACTCTTTGAGCGGCCCTTATTCTGGCCCCCTTTGTCCTCTTCACCACCAAGGTCACAGCCAGAAAGCTCTTTGGTGTAGCAGCCCCCAAAAAGTGACTCTTCCTTAGAAAACTCTGTAGTCACTGAGGGCTGCTGGAGCATGACAAAGTCACCCTCCTCTTTGCCCTTTATGCTGAGGGACTTGCGGATGGTCTTAAGGCTTATCTTCTTCATTCTGACAGGCCCGCCAAATTGGGGGCATGGGATGGCTCTCCTGGTATCCCGATGAAAGTACTATCCACAGTGTCCTCCCATCAGGCCACACGAAACAAGTCATGCATACAGTGGACCCATCAAACCCTGCAGAAAGAAAAACACACACGATTATAGATATTCTGTTCAGTCCTAAAAATACTTATCAGCATTAAACACATTACAGCCAATTAGTGCCGTGGGTTTTTTTGTGTGTTTTAACTCTGTTAAGGTTGCAACTACCGATTACTATAGCAGTGGATTAATGACTACAAGTATTTCTCAATTAATGATTTGATCTATGAAATTACATTAGTGATAAAAGCAAATTATAACGTCTTAATCTAATGTCATTAAATGTCTTGATTTCTCTGACCAAGAGTCAAAAGCCCTTTGAGAAATGTTCAGTTCATCATCACACAAGACAACAAAAAGCAAATCCTCATAGCTGAGAAGCTGGAACCCAGTGATGTTTGGTATTTTTGGAAATAAAACAATGCCTATCAGATTAAAGTGCTGACTTTCAGGTTTAATGTAATGGGTTCACGGCTCTACTGTTTACTTATTATAAACAGCCCTAAATTTAAAAAGGGGCCATTTTTAATCAGACAAATTACACAAATATATACAAATTCATTGTGTTTAATATCTGATTAAATTAATTGACAGCTTAAAGTCTATGATCCATATACATGAACAGATGCTTGGTATTTTCCCTAGTCATGCTCTGTTGGTCCTGTGCTGCTGCTACTGTTTTCCCTTTAAACTCTTTGCTTGTTTTGGCAGTGTGTTTAGGATCACTTCCCTGCTGCATTGTTTACTATGAACAGTTCCTATACTGCTGCCCCCAATATAGATGTCAAAAAGCCACATAACTGAAAGCAAGCACTTTCACCTCACAGCTACTTTTTTCTTTCAATTTAACTGCAATGTGCTAGATTGTAGTGCCAAACAATAGAAAATGTGTCACACCACAAATATTCACTGACTGCACAGTATTAAAGTGATTTTATTGATGAATAACAATCACTGCCTTTCCATCTGTCAAAAAAAAAAAAAAAAAACTATGACAGTTAAACAGGCAAACCCAGACTCAAATGATATCTCAACACATGTGCCACTTAAAGCACATAAATAAAGCTGCTTGATAATAAAGACAGCTGCAATCTGATTACTCACCATTATGTGCAGGAAAATGGTGACTCAGTTGGATGGGTCAAGTTCCACTTCCACTACCTTTCATTTGATGCTATGGAAAACAAAGCCAGCTCATTTGAAAAAGTTGCACTCTTCTGGTTCGTACATGATTTTCTAAGGGAATCACACATATTTTTTGTAACTACACACTCACATAAAACAAACTGTGTGTTGATAAAGCCAACGTTAGCATGGTTTGTCCTGACCTGTTAAGGCCTTCGGACACAACACCATGCCTTTAGCTTAGCAACGCTTCTTACTTTAAGACTTTAATGGCAACACTTCTGAAAGTATATGCTCCAAATACCATTAAACCGGTACACTTTAAATATTAAGACCACGAGAAACAAACTATGATGAACCGATATAGCTTGTCAATTTAACAAGACGCTGCTTTGCTTGTATGCTAACATCTAACAGCTAACCACCAGTTAGTTTGTTAGCACATCTACTTTCAAAGTAAACATGCGATCTATCAACATTTTTAAAAGGGTGCACATAATAGTGTCTCTTACCCGGTCACTTCTGTTGGTCTTAGTAGGCAAAACAACCCCGAGGTGTTGACATTTGTCCTGTACAACGCGTTCATAAAAAGGGTTCGCTCCTTGACGACTGTTGGCTAATGTTAGCTTCACTAATGTTAGCTTACTACCTAAAAGCCAATCAGCTAGCTTTGTTAACGTTTGCAGTCGAAAACATCACCGTCAGCTTGCCTTTCGTCACCTTCTGCACACAGACGAAGGTACAAAGCGTTTATGTGGCCGGATTTGGGCTCTTCTCTAAACGTGCGGGTTTACACTGCCGTCTAGGATGACACAATAAGGTGACATCTTTCTTTCTAGGTTGGGCTAACACTTTGTAGCTTACGGCCTCTTCCTTTCTTCCTTTGTTGCCTGTTGAATTGTGGGAGTAGATTCAGATGCAGCGAATCACACACACACACACACACACACACACACACACACACACACACACACACACACACACACACACACACAGAGAGAGAGGGAGAGCAGCTACAGCACATTTCTACATCCCAGAGACAGACACAACCCAAACACTTAGAGATTAATTGATTTATCTTCTCTAAATCAATTAAAATAATCATATATAAAACTAATATGTTACATTTAATGTTATTATTTGAACATATTTATGGTTGGAAATGTGTTTAGGTTAGAAAAGAGGAATTTATTATCCGACAAAATGTTGGGGCAGTGAAGTAATATGTTGTCCGTCCTTAAACAACCCACCACCTAATGTTATTGAGCAAAGCATTTTACTATAACTGCTCTAATGGGGATGCTCAGTTGCTTAAAGTAGAAGGATGTGGTTGACTTGGGCAGCTCCCTTGTATGGAGTAAGGTGTTGCAAAAACCCATGCATGCTCTGTGAACTTCTGCTGGGAAAAACATTATGTTTTAAAAATAAAGAAATAAATAAGCCATGTGGCCTTAATCAATATTACTGCATTAATTGTCTTGTCAAAGAAAATTCAGCAAACAGCAAAACTTGGAACAGGGAGCAGCTGCTGGAAGGAAGTCGCCTATTCAGTCCACTCATAACAGAGACATAAACTATGAACATTTTTAGATATGCAGTCCCTGAAATAATTTTTCACTTGTACAAATGACTGAAGATTATTTTTGTTAGTGTGCTCTGCTAAACTCCCCCAGACAGTGGTTTTAAAATGCATGATCATACTTACCAGTATTTGGACTTTTCATAAGGATAGGTAGTGTGACATGCCTAATAAAGAGTGTGTGTTTTTTTCTTAATTGTGCTAAATCAAGTCATGCCTTCAATGCTTTTGGAGAAATGTGACAAATAGTCGATTGCTGTGATAATTAATACAGAAGCTGCTTATGAAGATACTAAAAAACGAAAGCTTATTTGTAGCTCATAGCAAATAATTTAGTGTTTTGTTTCTCTCTGTTTTTCTGCTTGTTTGCTTGCACTTCACACCATGCCATTATAATACAGTTTAAATACAGTATATAACTTTCCCCCAGTGCAATAATCAGGATTCCATTTTCCACTACAGATATCAGATAACTGTAGAAATATCAACCACTACATTTTTTCCCCCTAAAGCTGGCTCTGCTTAGCCTTTATGCAGGAAGGTCTTTCTAATTTGTATTCCAGCAACATCAAGTTGGCCCTCCAAGTATTTTCATGTATTTGATACAGCAACTAAAACTTGAACTCTGAAATGATACATTGGTCGCCTAATTAGTGTCAGTATTGTTTTAAAGTAGATTGTGTTTACCACTGCCAGGCTAATTTGGTCCATATACTGAACATTACATTGTTTTTTCCACACTGTCAAGTGTATGGCAGTCCTTCAACAACCTGCTTAGGGCAGCTGTGTGCAGACAGGCTCTGAGCAAAGACTCTAATTACCAGGCCCTATTAGGGTTGATCAGGCTGCCTTCACTTGATGTGTTGGCACAGGAGGGGAGGGCTGGTGGTGGGGGAGGAAGGAGGGGTGGCAGCTCTTAGATATAGCACCAAGGACACTGGGAAGCGAGGATGCGATGTTTCTACAAGATAAATTAGCCGTGACAAACAAACTTTAGTGTGGTTGATATTTGTTGCCAGACAGTAAAAACAATTAAATACTTAGTTGTGGCCATAACCCAGTCTGTTTTGTCATGACAGGATAAACAGATCAAAAAAGTTCCTAATAGCAGGCTGTTTATATTTTAGATAAATTAAATCTTACTCTAATAGTTTGATAGGAATGGAGAGTATCTGCACGATGTTGCCAAACACCACAGAGCACAACATGTGAGGGCATCTCTGTCTCTCTCTCTCTCTCACGATCAATATTTCCAAAAGAATTTGAATTTATGTATAAGCACGACTCAAAAGCACTGAACCTCAAGTCAGGGTGGAACACTGTACACATGGATCAGGCCAAACTGATTAATGAGACACCTCTACATGTTAGGGAAGCTCCTCAGGTTTCATCTTAATTTCAAATGAACGCTGTATCAGCCATAAATTATTTGCACAAAAATGTCTTTCGCTCGCTTCAGTTTCATTCAGTCCTTTGACTCGACTCCTTTGCCAATGGGGGATTGTCGGGGGGCCCCATCGGTGCCCACCCTCATATCCTCAACACTTGCAGTGGAGCGGAAGACGGGTACAGCAGGCATGTCAAACAGTGACAGGGCCAGTGGGACCACTTGGGTTTTGTTTCAGGAATGACTGTGGGAGAAGACAGTAGCCTCCAAATACAGTCTGAGAATTTATGGTAAGGATGATGTCCACACCTCCTTCTCACTGTGTCTCATGCTCATTTCGACAGATTCATTTTCCTTCCTTTTTTTTTCTGGTTAGCAATATAAATCAAAGAGTGGTTGAATCAGTTCATCATATGACTTTTTCCCTTATACAATGACTACTGTTACAGCAGCTGTGTCCACAATGTAATGACTCATCTATAGAGACTTGAGCTCAGTCCAATTGGCTTCCTGGTTAAAACAATGAATTATTTGCTTTCATGCTTCAGCTCTGTAATAACGTCACCCTTGATTTCACATTGTTAATTCCTGAAATAACTCCTCATATTTTTTTTGCCATATGGTGTGCTGAATTTTGGACAATTACAGTAATTATATGACTACATAGCTGATTTGACCTTGTTTTATGCATGAAATGCATTAAGAGCTACAGGTCCAGCAGCCCTCCTGAAACATTTGGTGATTTAGTTTACTTCAGCTTTCTCACATCCCTGTTTACAGTCACTTTAAGGTGCTTGAATGTGCTAAAAGGGACTGTAAAAAAATGATTAGGGGAAGAGAGGGTTATGTATTCTTTCTTTTTGCTGGTAGTTTGACTTTTTGGGAGAGCACAGGAGAGTTACCCCAAATTTACATTCTTTAAATGTTCTAGGGCTTAATTCTTCTCTCCACAGTCGCTAATGGGGCCAATTAGTAGAAACCCAATACATTTGCTATTTTTATGGGTTTTTGTGATTAAATGTTCTCTCGCACATTTGTCTGCATTATGACAGAAAGTTATATGTTTTATAAAGCTGGCCAATATTGTAATATTATAATCAAGTCTAGCCTTTAATTTAGTATCTCCTTATACTTAAATATACATAGCTATAGCTATATGTATAGCTACAATTAAGCTATACATTTGTACTTCTTTCCAGCTATATACAGTATGTAGTCTCTACCAGATATCTCCAAAATGAAATCAGCAGTGCAGTGCTCCATGACTTCTGTCCAGGTTGGCCAGTATGGTCAGGCACATGATGACTCATTATCAGCTTTAACCATGGTGAGAGTCCAGAGACTGAGATGCTCCGAAATCTGGCTTCAAAGTGTTTCAATTGGCAAGATTTCCATTCAGAGACGAAGCTTACATTCATTAACAGCCTGAGGTAGTTTCTGGCATATGAGTAATTTAGCTTGATATAAAATAAATGACAGATTTTGTGTATGATTTACAATGTAAGGAATCATATTGCATTTGAAAACACAGGAAATTAGAGGTTGAAAGTACAAAACATAGAATATACTTTTCAGACCAAATATGCACTTATATAAGCTGTATTAGAGTCATACAAAAAATATATACAGTAATAATAATAAATAAATAAAAATAAATAATACAGTGAACATGAATGAAAGGACAACTGCTGTTTTGAGGACAAAAACGTCTGAAAAGACATCTGGGAAAAAAGCATAGCTGTGTGATGGTCAAAAATACAGGGCTGAATGACATACACATTACCCATGTTTTCATTTATTTAAAGTGAAGTTTTGCTTCCTGCCTGCAGCCTATGCTAACAAAAGATCCAAGACACACAGTGGTTGTCAAACAGAAATTATGTGATGTACTGTTTGGAGCAGACTCAACAGCTTTTGAGAACTCCTAGTCTGACCCTGGGCGATGTATTTTTCCACTAGGTAAAGAAGGCTTCCTCAGCTGTTTGGATGTCTCTCACTCTGTTACATTTGCAGAAAGTCAAACCCAGTCCTATAAATTGTATCAGAGGCTGGGGGAACTGGAATACATTTTTTATCCTCCACAGGTCAATGGACCCTTTGGCAGGTCCATCAATATGACTCATGTTGTGCAGCCAACTCCAGTCCAAAACACAACAGATTTTGTTTTAAATTCTGGTCAACATGCAAAGGTTTCCAGACATAACAAATATGTCACATAAAATTACAGGGATGTGTGGATAAAATAATTTCCCATGTAGTGTGATGGTGCAACCATATGAAAACAGCATCTTGAATTGGATATTTGATTCACTGTGCAGTAAATATGATATATGAAGCTCTGGAATGTGGATGGTTGCCTATGAGAAAAATGTATCTGAATTTAAAATAATTTTAGAAAGTGGAGAGGAATATTGGTTTGAAAGAAAATGTGCTGAAGTAAAACAGTAATGGATTATGAAAGCAGAAATTATCATTTTCCTTCTACCCCCTCAAACTCTTCGAAGGTGACATTAGAATATACAGTAGGCAGCCAAATTAATTATGGGCTTAAATCCCTCTGGAATTCTCAAAAGCTGTGTGATTACATTATTATCATATCAAATTATCATTTGCTAAGTTTGTTAATTATCACCCTGTCAGCTGATCATATCCACATCACATCTCAAGTGTGAGATCTCATGCAATTGGATTAACTTACACACAGAAAATAACTTATGCCTGCACTCGTGTTAAGAGGCTATGCACATCATCTTTGATATTTGACAACGTCAGTGTTTGAGGAGATTAATTTAATGACAGGATAATGTGGCTGCTGTCAAAACTACATTCAATATTGAAGCAATGCAATGATTTTGAAATATGCCTTGAAACACTGATGATCCTGGCAAGAAAAATTGCTTTGCGTGTTTACTTAACATTTCAAAAGATCAAACGGGAGAGATATGCCACAAATTGGAACATCATATGTCTCATGTCACAAACACTGTTGACAGAAAGAGCCACGCAGACAGGATTTCTAGGGACATAATCTGATCAAT